TCAAGAAGGATTATGTTTTTTACATTGGTTCTTAGCCCTAGCTAAGGGTCAAAATTACCTATTGAGCATTTTAGAAGATAATCATATTTGACATCTGTTGTTGTTGTGTGACCTTGAATTGATTCTGGCTCAAATAAACTCTAAAGCATCCATTTGTAGAATTTTGATTTTTTAGGCCTGGAGTTGGGTCTAGACATTTGTAATTTTCAGAATTACCAACAAAGATTATGATGAAAGCCAGGGTAGAAAACCACTGGTTTAGTGATTAAAGGACTGGAGAATTATATTCCAACTCAGCTATTTAATAATAACTCTTATTTAATAAGAGTGAGCATTTAGTCTCTTTAAGATACCACTTCCTGATGCTTAAAGTGAGATAATTCCATGTATCATGTTTTCAACTAGACAAATATTTAGAACAGAGAGTGAGATAATGTCTAGAAGTAATTTTTGTTTGTTAGTAGGTATGGGGTGGGACAAAACTTGGATAGCTAGGATTACAGTAGAATCAAGTGTATAACTCTTTTTCATCAGGAGGTCAATGCCTTTGGGTGAATAATATCATCCATCTCTAACCTTGTTTTTCAAACCCAGGATATTATAAAATTGACTGGCCTAACACTGGAAGATTTTTTATATTAATATGATTCTATTAGTTCACATTATTTTTTCTTAGATTCACTTATTTAATGGAATCATTATCATTTGATTATGAAATGCAGAATTAAATTGAAAATATACAAGAACCTGGGAAAGTTTGACCTGAAATTTGTAATGGCCAGAAAATGTGGACAAGTGCTCTCATGTATAAGTATCACACCGCAGCAGTTTATTCCATCTACTTCTGAAGCAAAATTTAGGGTTGAGCAAACTCAGCCCATGGTCTAATCCTTTCTATGTAGAGAGAGCATGACCCTGGGTTTGATGAGCTCCAGTATTTCCAACGCAACAATGTCCTGGAAACCCAAGAGTCCTGGGGACTCCTTAGCTGCCCTCACTTTAGGAACTGTTAACTGAGTCCAATAGCAACAAACTGACGAGCCCTGCAATGATGGTACTCAGGCAGTGGTATCATTATATGGCTTTTACAGTCTTGTAATACCAGTCAGAGCTAGAAATATGAAATAAAACAATAGACAGAATATGTGGCCATCTCTTCATTGGTATACTGTTCATTTACCTGGGCCTGCTCTTCAGGCAATTTGAAGGAGAATACAAAAGGTATCATCTGCCAAGAAAGGAATCACGAAAATTTTATAGTTGGCCATGAAAATTTCTGAGTTTCTTTTCATAGATCTAACCAGAGAAATTTATCATCACTAATACAAGTTCATTTACTATATATGTACATGTATATGTACCATTTTTTGGTTCACATTTTCTTTGTAAATTAGATGAAACTTTCTTAATTTTCCTCTCCAAGATATGTTTTCTCACTTCTCATTTGTGGTTGTGATCCAAGAATAGCTAATGTGAATGCTGTTTTTCATGTTAGGAATCAAAAAAAGATAAGGAAGTACTGTGCAACAGTGGTTAAGTGCTCAGCTGTTAGCCAGAGGTGGGCATTCAAACCCATCCTGTGGCTCAAAGGGAGAAAGATGTGGTTGTCTGCTTCTGTAAAAACTACCACCTACCACTGAGTCAATTCTGAGTCCTAGTGCCCAATAGGATAGAGTAGAACAGTCCCAAAGTGTTTCTAAGGCTATCTATCTTTATTGAAGCAGTTTGCCCACATCTTTCTCCCACAGAGGGCTGACCTTTTAGTTAGCAGCTGAATGCTTTAACTATTGAACCACCAGGGCTCTTTAACTGTAATTATCCACCCCCCCCCCCCCAGACGGGACAGTTTTACTCTGTACTATAAAGTTGCCATGAGTAATAATTGACTGGATGGGAAAAGGTTTAGGAACATATTACAAGGAAGTCTTGCCTGAGAACTCCTTTCTTATTTCAGATTTGTATTCATTTTCATATTCAATAAATCTCTATCACTTCTCAGAACACAAAGATGAAAAAGGCCCAACTTACGTGATTAGGGTGATTAGGGCCCTGTTGTGTTTGCGGTAGTGTTTGAGGCTGTGAGGGGTCCAGCTGGCCGCAGTGAAGCCTTGGGCAAAACTGACCTGTCCCGGGAAAGGTATCTGATTTGGGAACAATCCAGCAAACAGATCTAAGGCTGATAAAGAGAATGCGGGAGAGTCCAGGAACTTGAGCCTGATGTTGCTGTTGCCAGATCCCAGAGGAAGGAGGAGTCAGTGGATTAAATGGGCCCTGGATGGACACAAATTAAAGAAGGAAAATGTTTCTCTTTCTTGTCAAAAAGGATTGAAAAGCTATCTGGAGAAATGTAAGCAGTAATCAAAATGTAAGCAGTTTCTATATTTCCAGTAGAGCTACATTATAAAAAAAGAAAAACAAATTGGCTTATTATGGGCCATGCAAATAAAAAGAGACACAGCTAAATACCCGATGGTCATGTGAAGTAAGGGGTAGAATGAGGCAGACAAAAGAGTAGAGATTTTGCAGTTTCCAGACTAGTTTCAAATTGCACATGTGTGCGTGTGTGTGTGTGTGTGTGTGTCCCTGTTTAGCTGGACATGACTTTAGAGAAAATAGCTTATTAAACTATCTCACAGTATTGTGAGATTTAGTGTCTGGCATACACAAAGTCCTCAATATATAAATGTTAATCAGATTCTAAGCTTTACTTTTGTCTTCAAACAAATTATCATAAGAAAATATGGGACAAATTCATAACTTTAGTGGTCATAAATGGAATCAGAGAACATTTTCTTTTTCTATAAAGCCTTATGAGAAATGAAAAGTATAAAAATATTCCCCTTACAATAATTACTGAGATAAAAGTATCTGAAATAGTAGCAGCAAAAGCTAAGCATTATTAAGATTTAGAGGTAGCTAAAAAAGGAAAGATGACATGAAAACAAGATTACCAGACATGCTAAAATATTAAGAAAATGTTTACTCAAATACAGTACAAGTCATAACTGCTTGATCAGTGTCCTGTTAGAAGTGATACATTTTCTCATTAAGCATACATAAAATTACAGTGGTTAGAGGTTAGAGTGGAAAACAGGTTTGGAATTTAACAACCTCTCCTGCTGTGTAGCATAGTGCCTAAGGCACTTGACTGTTGACCAGAAGGCTGGCGGTTCAAACCCACCAGCCACTCCTTGGAAGGAAGATAGGGCAATCTACTTCCGTAGTGATACTGCCTCGGAAATCCAAGGAGGGGTCGCTATGAGTTGGGTACAACTCGACGGCACATAACAACAACAACAACCTGCTGTGTATGATTGTATGCTTGCCTAATCCAGAGTTTCATCAGTTTTTGCTGTTAAACATCTTTATAGACCTGAATTAGCTGCTGTTAGAATGAAAAGATATAAATGATTTCATCTCTTTTTTGAAGAATTGCCATCCACTGAAGGATGTAAAACTAGTAGTATAGAAGTAACCTAGTATACAAAGCAAATATGAGCATTCAAAATGCGTTTGGATATGCATAAAAGCTAGTGGATAGAAATGCAGGGTAAAACCAGTGAACATTTTTATCTCTTCTCCACTAGGGACCAACAACAATAAAAAAACCCCAAAAAGATAGAAGTGGTTTTAAGTACTTCAACTGACCTCATTGCTGTTGCTTGCTGACACAAGATGCTGTGGGATTAGCTAAAATGAAATGGTGAAAAAAAAATGCAGGTTTGTTGTAGGTTTTACACAATGAGCTCAGCTGGATCAAGAAATCACTTACTGGGGCTGACAGCATGGCTCCCAGGAACCCAAGAA